AGACCCTTTCGGGCTACATATAGCGTTATATACTGGGTATATAAGGATCCAAGGCTTAAGGGCACAAATAAGGGGCCCATGGTTTCAACCCCAGAGTTGGGATATGGCGGTTTAAGCTGCAGGGTTCCGGCAGATGGAGGCAATCTTGCATAACTCAATTTATCTTCTACCCCAGGACTTACAGCATGTTGAGGGTCGGAGTCACCCTTTCTGGCTCCGTATTGGGATATCGCGGATGGAGGACATCTTGTAGAACTCTACATACTAGATACGTTGCATCGCAGGACTTACAATATGTTGGGGGTCGAAAGGGGGTGCAAGATGTCCGCCTACCATCGCAGTATCAAAGATTTACGCTGTATTTCCTTGTTGGGTCATTTTTGCATACTGACTAGAACCCAAAAAATCCAATCACGACTCAGTTGAAGGTTGGGGGTTACCGTCGGAGCCTAGAATGATTAGAAATACAGAGTTGGGACGCATCACGCTATAGTTGTACAGGGATTGAGAGGGGATACCACATATGCCACATACCGGTGTAATCATGTAACCTAGGCTTCTACATTATTCAATTGGGGGCTTCTCCAAAATAGAGAGTCTTAGTGACCCTAGGGTCGTTTATGGGGGGTTCAACAGTGGGAGACTGTGATAGCTTCTTGGCTGCGCAGCCAGAGATACCCAGTGTGTAAGCTTCTGAGTTTGTCCCTTAGGGACCGCTGGGATACAAGGGTGCCAAAGGAGAACCAAAAGCGAAGCAAAACAGCACCAGGAAGAAAAAAACATCGGTCGCCCTTTAGGATTCTATTGGTCGTGTATATGAACAAGGAATTCAATTTAGCCTCCCTGTATCTCCTTGTTGGGTTATGTATGCATACGTAACAGAACTCAAAACATGTCCAACAATGACCCACTTGAAGGTTTGGGAATACTGTCGGAGTCTAATGAAGTACAAATAAAGTGTTGGGATGCATCACGCTGTAGTTTACAGGGCAGGGATTGAGAGGGGATACCAAATAGCGGTGTACTGCTTAAACCTAGCATTATTCAAGGGGGGCTTCTCCGAAATAAAAGGCTTAGTGACCCTAGGGCATTTTATCGGGGGTTCAACAGTGGGAGAATGTGATAGCTCCTCGCTTGCGCAGCTAGAGATTCCCCGTGCGTAAGGGTTCGGACCTTTTGGCCCTGAGGGACCGCTGGAACACAAGGGTGCCATAAGAGACCCCACAGCGACAGCCAACCAATACTGCACCAGGAGGAAAACATGCGGTCGCCCCGTAGGATTCTACTGCTCGTGTATTTGAAGAAAGAATTCCATTTAGCGCCCTTTCTGGATCAAGGGCTCTGGTGATACCCTTCTTCAAGTTGTCGATGTTAAGCTTGGACATGGCTTGCCCGAGCTCCACTTAGCTCAACTGCCCGCACCGCTTCGAGCCAATGCGAACATATGTGAGATTCTCACTGGGTAGGTATGTTACGAAACAGCAGTGTTATCCATAGTTCTGAGTAAAGGGCAGATATACTCTATAGTCTAAACTTCCAGTATCCTCCTTATTACCCCCAGAGCAATCCCCTAGATAATGCCCTGTATAACTCCTTTGAGGAGTTTGAGACTGCACTCATAAAGGTTGTGGCCTGGTCATTACTTGAATGTGTTCCTACCTAAGGTTTTGAGAATTGAGGGACGCGTTCGGATTAAAAGCAGATCTTAGGGCTCCCCACTGCCCCACCCATTGTAGGGGTCATACGAAAGGCTCTATACTCTATACATATATATACATATATATATATAACTATTATGCAGCTGTTAATGAGTGGCGGTAGTATCCAAATTATACAGGAGCATTGCTCTACCCAAGTGTAATCGTATCAGGGCACATAGGGTGCAGCTATAAGTAGGTTGTAAGTATCCATGGACCTCCAGTTGTTGCTATCCGCAACGTCCTTGCAACCCAAGCTTTCTGGGTTTGCAGACTCGCTCTTCGGCCTTGGGTTTTCCAAAGCCGGGGGGTAGCTGCTCAAGCAGACGGACTACGTGGGGATTTCCAAGAATTAGGGGCCCTTTAAAGGAGCAAATTCGCTTTTATCCAGGGATATACACTGGATATAAAGAAGTATGGAATGTTTCGGGGTTGCCAAAGATCAGGTACCTTGCGCTGGGAATCCCTAACTCATGGAATGCCCTATGTACAAATCCGCAGACACGGGATGTCTTGGTATTGCCTACGAACATTGCGCATCCGCGACGAACTAAGCAGGGCCTTGATTCTCTGACAAATAGTCTAAAGCTACTGGCTGGTAGTAGGAATAGGGGAATATAATCCCTGTATAATCCCGATATAATGTATTTCTTGTTTTCTCCTACTAAGAACCAGCAAGTAAAGCTTCCTCCATCGGCATGTTTATGGACGTGGATGAAGCTGCTTTTGCCAGCTGGATGGCCATCCATAATGAGCGTGATCGTCATGATAGAAATGCGAGTAAGGTGATTAAGGCCGACAGGCTGCGGCTCCTGCGCTGTGAGCCCCTGGCGCTCCTCGGGCAGAGCGAGTTGTACGTCTGTAAGGGTTGCTGCTGCGCTGCCCACCGTCTCAGGCGAAGGTGAGGTCGACTGAGTCTGAGTCACTTGCTGTTCGGCTGCCCGGCGCCGGCTGGCACATGTAGCACACATGAGAATGGCGCTGCCAAGTATCCATGTGGTCATCCATACGGCCAGCATAAGCGGGATGAAAGTGCCGGCCCGCATGTCCAGTACAGATGCAAGCGCCTCCTCGAGGTTGCCTGTGGCATTGCTCTCGTTCATGGCTTGCGGGGCCTTTGGCGACCGCGTCTTCTCTGCGGACCTAACGAGCTTCCTGCGAGTGAAGCACCGTACATTCCTCCACACAACGGCGCCGTGAACTCCTGAATGCATGAAGCACAGCCAAGCTGGACGCGGTGAGCTCACTCGACTTGCCTTTCGCATGCCGCAGAGGCACTAAATCATGGCCATCATAATCATGGACCATCACCACCATCCTCTTGCGCCTCCACCTCAGCATCACCACGAGCGCAATATGAACCCAGCCAAACCTGGTAGCTTGTTTCCACCAATCGTGGGACCCCAAAATAAATGCCGAAATACTATAGTCCTCATTTTGGGGACCTCCCAAAAAGTACCCCGATTTACGGAAACCCCCATCTAGAGTGATAAGAATGGGAGTATTCTAGCGGTTGTGGTGGTTGTTGTCACAAGTTGGCATGAAAACATACTACAATGTTATAGTTTCCAGAATGTACGGTACCTACGGTCACGATGGTTTTTGAATAGAACAGCTAGCAATGGCGGATCTGGAAAGTGGACGAAGGGTTTTTTTGGTAACTGCAAGCCCCAAAATCAGGACCTTGGACTATCATGCGACTTATACACGGACCCTATCCTACGGGTTGGGTTCCGAAAACCTCTAGCGATCACTGGCCCATCATACCAACATCCACTCGGCTTTCAAAGTCTGAACATGCCTGCTACAAACGGCCTCCCAAATCCAGTCTCCACAACAATCGCGTCTTTCCAAATGACTTACAGTAGCAACAACCTAGGTTCAGGGTTAAGGGTTGAGTACCTAACGCTAAACACTAAGCCCCTGAGCAGCCCCAGGTAACCCTACATGAGCCTTTGAACAGGAACTTGACCTTGCCAATGGGTAGCCGAGAAGAAGAACTCCGTCAAAAGGAGTATAAGCGTAAGGCATTAGGAGGGAACCCCATGGTTCTGAGAGAGTCTGTCCTCATTCTTTGGGGACCCCTGAAATCTACCTGGTCTATACACCCTCATTATTAGAACCCCAAAGTGTACACCTAATTCTGGGAAACCCCCCTGTACATCTGACTGCCTGGAAGCGCCAACATGAGAGAGCAGCTGCTCCGCAACGGAAGCGTCGGAGGGGTCCAACAGCAGCAGCTGACTCGCCTCACACATTGCTTTAGGGCGCCCTTAAGGGATCCTAACCAGAATCTGGATAATTATTGGGTTTATAGGGTTTATGGTATAAGGACTTCGTAGGGGCCGCCTTGAAACTCGAATTATAGAGATGTTGTTGTTGAGAAACACTTTAGACGGCCCGGGAGTTCGCCAATTGGACAATGATCGTACAGTTTTGGGGTCTTAATGCCAGGGTACTGGGCAGGTGCTGTAGGGATTATAGGATTTCATTGTAAAAGTCCGCAATCGCTGGGGAATTCGAATGGTGGTTCCTGGGTCGCTGATTTCATTTGGACTAATTGCTATGCTCTAGTGGTTCTATTCTCGGTCTACTTGTTGATCTCAAAATTCTGCCTTGAAACCCATACTCTAACTAGCGTCTAAATTTCCGGGGACACTCTTCATGGTGGGAATGAACCCGCGAAACCTCTCCCTAAACCCTAGAGCGCTAAACTCTAAATCCTAGATCCTAAATCCTACACCCTCAACCCTAAACCCCTAACCCTAAACCTTAACCAGTAGTAGCACCGGGGCTGAGGATAATGTGACCTCTGACGCCAAGAGCCTTACTGGTGCTTCAGGGAACGGGGTAGTGGATCCCTATAATCATCTCCGTATAATTCCGTTCTATACCCCTCTCACGGTACCCATATTGACTCGCCCACTCCCCCTTAAGCGCCGGGAAGGAGCCTTGCGTATACATGATGGATATTTGCTCGACGCATTGACCGAAAGGGTTGGGAACTCTTGGAACCTGAAGCCTCTGCGGGCTTCGGACGGAAACGGATGTGAAACGCGGGGCTTTGCTTGTTGTCCTGGCCTGGCTATGTTGGGAAAGGTAAAGAGCTTTCGAACATCAACGAAGCAGTTCTCAGATACTGTTATCCATACACACTGCAGGGCTACCATTATTCTTCTAGTACGTGTATGGTAATCATCTGGCCACGGGAAGTCGAACCAATCCGACTCGGGCCGCCCCTGCTTCCCAGTCAGGCGCTCTCGGATGCCACAGTTGGGCACGAGAGCTTGGTACAAACAATTGCTACTCCGTGTCCTTGGCTCTAGCAGGTGGTGCTTCCTCCTCGGGAGAGCTGGAAACTTCCTGCGCAGAGATGTTCGCCTCAATGCCCCTCTGCTGGCAGGCCTGCAGCAATGCCGAGCGAGCCTCCTCGCTGATGGCTTTTCCTGAGATGCGGAACTCACAGAGTGCTTCGCTTCCCGTCAGCATCTCCGCAAGAGCCTGCGCGGCCTGGTCCCCGATGCGATCCATGCGCAGGGCCAGGAATTTGACCTGCGGATAGCCGTGCACGGCGAAAGCCTCCGCGATCATCTGTGTTTTAAAGTCATCAATGGCATCCTTATCAAGCAACAGACTCTCTCCTTCGAATGTTCCAGCAAAGGCTGCAGGCAGAATCTCCTTGTGAAGGCCAAATAATTGCAGCGATCGCAACTTGCTGGCGTCGGCCGGCACGGATCAGCAGGCGGCCGCCCAATGCCGTGAGCTCGTTGCCATAACTCTCAAGCCCTTCAAGGTTGCAGCGAGGCAGTGCCGCCGCCAGCGCCTCCGCGCCGCGGTCGTCGATGCGGTTTCTGTCCAAAACCAGCACACGCACGTGCCCGGCAGCTGTCATCCACGAGGCCACCAGGCGGGCATCTTCCGACGTCAGACCGCAGGCACGGAGGCTCACAAGTTGAACCCAGGGAGCGGCAGATGCAAAGTCCAGGAGGGCCTTCACCAGCTCCGGTTTGCCCCCGAGGGCTTTGCGTTCAAGATACAGCTCGCCATCAAAAGAACACAGCTCGAGCGTGTCACCGTCCAGCTCGTCCCGCACCTGTATCTGGAAATCTGGAAGGGATCTCAAGCTGGCTTTGACGATCGGAAGCAGGTGCTTGCTGTGAGGTGCGATTTGTCTCACGAAATCTCTCCAGATCTCCTTTACAAGTAGCTTTGCTTCTGCTCCGTTGCCGAAGAAACAGCTGCATCAAAGCGACTTGCATACCATGGCCCGAGCTGCCTGCTGTGCGGGAGCACGTGTTTCATGAACTCCTGCGACATCTCAGCCCAAAGACGCCGTGCCACAACTTCGTCGCCGTCCGCCACTGCTGCATCAAAGCGCTTCGCATACCAGCGACCGAGGCCCTTCTGGACCCGTGGATACAGACAAATCGAGGTGAAGACTTGGGCGAAGGGAATCGCCACGTTCAGGACTCCCACTAAGATCGATCCGCCTTCCACCAGTAAATAAATCACCGCCAGCACTGCCTGCGGCAGATTTTCCACAAGGAGGCGGTACCTCTTGGTTGGGGACAGCTGCTTCGCAAGCAGCGCAAGCAGTTGCTCACGCGGTGTAAGACTGACGGATTGGGCTGAGGGGGTGACGTCAAGGGTGGCGATACAGAATGCTGACACGTGACTGGAAGCCAGATCCATCAGGTAGTTCGGCATGAGCATCAGCACGAAATGGAAGGCAGGGAGGTAGAGCAGGCTCACGACGCCCATCGCCACGATCCCACCATTCCTGGGTTCTTGTTGAAATACTATTAAAAGAGATCATGTTCAATCTACATATCGGGCCCAGGTAGACAAAAAAATGTAAAATGTCGTGCTACGAGAACACAGATTCTGCGAAGCCAGGCACAGGACTCCAAACATTGTGTCCTTCAGAGTGTCGAAAGAATCTGCGATGAAGGGCATGATCCCTCCCAGCATCGCTTCCAGAAAGGCAGTGTTGCCATAGCCCCGTCCTGTAGGCAAGGTCTTTGCCAGGACTGCCGCTGGCACTAGCAGCCAGACGCACCCTGAGCTGAGCAGAAACAGGTAGCTCTCCCACGGCAGGCCTGTTTCTTTGGTGAGTCTTCCGTTGGAAAGGCTGCTCAAGGTAACAACGAGGCAGAGGGCAAAAGTGCACAAAAACACTAGCAGTACTTGTACCTGGCGTCTCCTTAGCGAGACGGGCTGCGGCTCCTGCGTTGTGAGTCCCTGGCGCTCCTCGGGCAGAGAAACTTGTACATTTGCAAGGGCTGCTGCTGTGTTGCCCACAATCTCAGGCGATTGTGAGGTTGACTGCGTCTGAGTCACTTGCTGTTCGGCTGCCCGGCGCCGGCTGGCACATGTAGCACAGATGAGAATCGCGCTGCCAAGCATCAGCGTGGTCATCCCCACGGCCAGCATGAGCATGATGAAAGTCCCGGCCCGCATGTCGAGACCGACAGATGCAAGCACCTCCTCGAGGTCGCCTGTGGCATTGCTCTCGTTCATGGCTCGCGGGCTGCGAGTCGCCTTTGGCGACCGCGTCTCGTCTCTGGGGGCCGAACGAGCTTCCAGCGAGTACAGCGCGACACATTCCTCCACACAACGGCGCCCTCAACTCCTGAATGCATGAAGCACAACTTGCCAGCCAAGCTAGAAATGGTGAGTTCACTCAACGCACCTCTAGCATGCCGCAGAGGCACTAATTCAAAATAACAACTCCCGAAAACTCTATTCTAATAGCAATGATACTCGTCATCATGGTCATTACCGTCATGGACCATCACCACCATCCTCTTGTGCCAGCATCACGAACAGCACAGTATGAACCCACCCAAATCTAGACTGATAGCAATGGAGCAGATGTGGTAGTCGTTGTCACAAGTTGGCATGAAATTCAAAGGCAAGTAGCCACTATTGATATTAAGAACCTGTATGACCTTAGTATACTAAAATGTCATGACTCCCAAACTATATGGAACTTAGGGTCACGCAGGGTTTTGAATATCAAGAGTGGCAGAATTCCGCTCTAGAATCACTGCTCTGGGTTGCGGACGTCACTGTCCAGCAGCGTAAGCGAAGGTTGGGAGAGGAATTCCGGCTTCACCTCCGAACAAGCAAACAAAAAGCTTAGCACAAAACCTGGGTAGGTCGTTACCCAGTAGGATTCCCCTAGTAAGCCCTATAATACTCCTCTATATAATCCCCTAAATAATACTCCCCTATCATGTAACCCCCTATAATTATAGTTCCCTATATAAGCCCAAAGCTGCGTGGTGGCTGTTTCCTACATGGACTCAGGAACGGACTGCAAAGGCTCTCGACCTGCCCTCCCTGGCTCAGGATACAGGATTTAGAGGTTTAGGGGTTAGGATTCAAGGTCTTGGGCTATTGTAGGGTTGTCGAGTTGCAGGGTTTAGGGTTGTAGGGTTGTAGGGTTGTAGGGTTTAGTACTTCCAGCAGCTTCATTGGAGAGCTTGCCGAAATCGACGACCCCAACATAGACACTGATATACTATATACTTTAGTATACGGACTTCCGAAACGGGGCCCCTAAATTCTTGGAAGTCCCAAACGCTATACATCCCTCTATAACCCTTGTTTCCGTGTTTAACGCCTTACATAACCCTAAACCCCAAACTCTAAACCCTAAACTCTAAACCCTAAGCTCTAAACCCTAAACTCTACACCCTAAAATCTAATCTTTAAACTGTAAACCCTAAACTCTAGACCCTAAACTCTAAACCCTAATATAGAAGTTAAATACCTCTCCCAAGAAGCCTCTTTTAGTTCCAATCTTTGCGCCTCAGAGTTGGCGCTCCAAGTCCTCCGCCAAGGAGGCGGAACATGATGCCCAAGGGTTAGGGTTTAGGGTTTGGGGCTTAGGGTTGGGGGTTCAGGGCTTGGGGTTTAAGTTTCAGGGTTTGGGGTTTATGGTTTAGGGATTAGGGCTGCTGTCGTATAGTAATATTATAGTAATATAGAAACATGGCCGCATGAGTTGTACTCTACAACCTCCCAAACCTGTGTATGATTAGGTCCCCTTATACAACAAAAAGGGCAATGAATCCTTCTCCCTAGTTGCCATCTAATATTTCAAACTGATATCAGTGAATATCTGAACACCTGCCCTCCCCCTAAAATGCAATATTCCCCACTATGGCCATATTTACTGGTGCCCCATATCCGAGACCCAAAGCCCTGAAACCGGGGATATATTATGGGATTACATACTCTTTCCCCCCTAAGATTAAAGGGCTCTCCCCTCCTACATTAGAGGCACGCTCTTGAAGGGAATGTTGGCCTGAGATCGCGGTCATTCCTACTCGGGCCGGGAGGTTATACAGGGGCAGGGATTATATGAGGTCTAGGGCTATATTTGAGGGCTACATGGGATTATATGAGGTTTAGGGATATATTAAGGGCTACATAGGGACTATACGGGGTTTAGAGATATAATATGGGGTTAAATATGGAGAATATGTACCGTAGGATTTAGGATCGAGGATTTAGGGCTTCAGAGCTTCAGGTTTTGGACCGGCATTCGGGTTTTCGGGACCGCCACTCTTCCTATCTGATTTGCTCTCCCTTTTCTTAGTAGGGAGTAGGGAAGATCTGCTTTCCTTATTCTTGCTGGTTCATAAAAGGGAATAAGGGAAAATAATCCACGTGTAATGTCTGCAATATCTTCCCCTTCTTCCCTACTAAGAACCAGTGAATATGTCTTGTTGCCAGCGGTGAACCAGTCCCCCCAATAGGGAGTAAGGATTTTGTTTAGGGCTATATAGGGATTACATTCCATGTTCCCTTCTAGGAACCAATGAGCAACAGCAAGTAGATGTCCTCAGACTAGTTGCTGGAGCGCATCTAGCGGGGACGGCTGAGTTTTGCAGGGAAGGCATTGTCGATTGTCTTGTTTCGCTGCCGCCGCCGCTCTTCGACCCGTCAGCAGCGCGAAGCACGCTTGACAAGCCTCCGTCTACTTAAGGACATGCTGCGAACGCAGAGAACAGGGTTCAAAGAGGTTTAGTCAATATGAATTCGTAGTATGCCCTGAAATTTAGTTTAAGTCATCGTGGTCCCCTTAGCATGAAAAGCCATGAAAAGCCGCTTGATACTAGGAGCCCAACGGGCGACTACAGGTTCTGATAGTCTATCTTATCCTTGGCAAAACAGCCCATTTTTGATCTGCCAGTACGTGACAGTAAGAACGCGGTGGAGGGTTTTTGTTAAAAGGGCTGGCTCCACCTTTTTTTTTCCGAAGGGTTGGCTTGACCCCGCCTTCTCGTTTCCTTGCAACTGTCATCATTTTTGGACTCTTGGATACGAAAAGTGTCAACTGTCACAGGGATCGCGGGGTCAGGGTCGCCATCCTCGTAACTGTCGACGTTTTTCGACTCTCGGATGATGTTCTAAACTCAAAAATGTCGACAGTTACAGGGATCGCGGAAGGCAGGCTCGCCATCCGCGTAACTGTCGACGTTTTT